TACAAATTGATAATTGAACAGTAGTATGGCATAGCAGTTGGCTGTCGGGTGGGTGTAAAAAGATTTTACAAATGCACCTCATTTGACGCACAGATTTACACTCGAACCAAACCATTTTTCTGTTTTTTTTCCCTTTTCGGTTATTTCTGTCCATGATTGGATAGAAAAAAAACGAGCTACAAATACTCCAAGATTTTTTTGACTTCATTAAAAAATAAAATCGTTTTTGTCGGATGCAAACTTTTTTAGGTCAAAACCCCCCACCCTAAAACTAAAGGAAATAAGTTTTTTATCCGACATCGATCTTTTGACGTCGTCCCTTACTCAAGCATGTCGACACTTTTTTTTTGAATATTTGTCGTATCTCACAGATCATACCATAGATGAGCAATGAGCACCCACATTCAAAATCTCAAGAAATAATAGAACACAAATGACTCAAGCAAGAAGATGTGTCTTATCTCAAAGGCACACGCCGTCTTCACGGGGAATGCAAGTGAGCGTAGCCAATTTGTTGAGAGCTATATAAAAGGTGATATACCACTCTTGGCCATGTCACCTATAAACTGACGTCAATAGACTATTTTCCATTCACTGCGAGAATCACGCGTAATGCGTGAAATCGAACGTAAAAACAGGACAAACAAAGGTCATAGCGTCGTACGAACTCCGCACAGTTCGATGCGCGTTACTTGTCATCACTGCACAAAGCAGCTTTGCATAGAACTAATTTGCATATTCGAATATGTTCCAACTACAAGACCCTGTCGGTTAACAAAGTTATGCGTAAGTCACTTGGTTACTTTAATCACTTTAATAAGACGTTTCACACCCCGACTTCGAATAAAATGTTCAGTTAATTAGATTAAAATATACATGACTTGCGTTAGAAAAGTGCAATTCTTTCCTACATGCCAAAGCATTAGTTTCTACAATAAATGACTAACTTTATAAACTTACTAGAACCTGTGTATTCTATAGCTGTTAGACGCGCAAAATCGAACCCGTTCAAGCCAGAAATAGTATTGAAATATTCACCAGAATACAAGATGAACAGAAATGTTAAGAAACCCCTTTCAGTGAAATTAGTTTTTAATGTATATACGTGAACGTTTTTTCTTCGAATTCCAAGTTTTAGTGTATCATGTGCGCCATTTCACTACAGTGACATTACCTTTCAAAACATAGTCCGCGATAAAATGGTACGTATTTACGTTTTTACTGATGTCTGACATTAATAAATAGTTCGGATGTCACATACGTATTTTTCCATTTTTTGAAGTACGTTTTCAGATGTAACAGCTACAGGAAAATGACCGTGCGTAGTGAGGTGATTGAACACAAAATTGAAGACTGCCTGTGGCAGAGGCACTATTGCGTAAAGCGCAAAGGCCTCTGGGAAGGAGATTGAGCGTCGTAGTGGCGTCAAACATCGCGTGGGATCCGACAAACGCGAAAGTATTTTGGGGTCATTTCTATGCTCAATAATGTGCTGTACACATTTGATGATAGACAATTTCGATTAAGGTAGAAGCCTAGTCATAATTTCTGACAAAATTGGTCATAAATCGCATGACAATGTTCATTAGTTTATTATGTACAATCATGAAGCTAATGTCCCATGGTACAATGGAATAGCATTATTTTGTGTGTTACAGTTAAGCTTTTTGAGAAGCGTGTCTTAATATTTCTTGAAAATTGCTATTTTTAGAACAATTCCATAGAACACAATGTTAAAGAAAAATTGCAATTTTTGACACTTTTTAAAACCCAGATTTTTTAAATAATTCAGAACAACAAAAAGTACTCCATCATTAACAATATATGATTTTTTTCAGCCTATGTCACCAGGCTAGATTTTGGGAAATTGCATAATATCTCTGCCATAGGAACCTGTGGTAAAAGTGTTTTAATAGTGTCAAAATGGCGACTTTCCATTAAAATACAACCATCAATTTCTCGAAAAAAAGGCTGGTGACCCCAACTTTTTTAAGGTCAATATCTTATATTGCCGTGGAGTACAATTTATTGCAAAATGAATAAATTCTGGGTTTTTTAATTTATGAGTAGGCTTCTACCTTAAGTGAGGGTATTCGGGAGCAAAATTCCTCTGTCGAAAATCAGCCGGTCGATGTGAGCTACGAAATAAAGAAATTCTAGTTCAAAATCAAATCGTTCGATTTTTGCGGCAGACGTTCGACGCGCGTCTTCCATGCATCATGCATTGTACGGAAAATCACCTATTCTTTTAAATCCAGATTGTAGGCGGTCACACCTGTATTCATGTCGTTCAAATTGCATACGGCCACACCTATTCATGCAGATTGCAAACGGCTAATCGAGTATTCATAAACAGATTGCAGACGGCTGAACTCAATGTACATGCGCATGTAGATTATTCACATGTAGATTGTAAACGGCCACTTGTTTACTCACATGCAGATTGTAAACGGTCACACGTTTATTCACATGTAGATTGTAAATGGCTACACGTTCACTCACATGTAGATTGTAAACGGCCATACGTCTATTTACATGTAGATTGTAAACGGCCACACGTTTACTCACACAAAGTTTTAAACAGCCATACGTTTATTCACATGCAGACTGTAAACGGCAATACCTATACTCACATGCAGACTGTAAACGGAGACACGTTTACTCACATGTAAATTGTAAACGGCCACACGTTTACTCACATGTAAATTGTAAACGGCCACACGTTTACTCACATGTAGATTGTAAACGGCCACACGTTTACTCACATATAAATTGTAAACGGCCACACGTTTACTCACATGTAGATTGTAAACGGCCATACGTTTACTCACATGTAGATTGTAAACGGCCATACCTTTACTCACATGCAGATTGTAAACGGCCACACGTTTACTCACATGTAGATTGTAAACGGCCACACGTTTACTCACATGCAGATTGTAAACGGCCACACGTTTACTCACATAAAGTTTGTAAACAGCCATAAGTTTATTCACATGCAGACTGTAAACGACCATACCTTTACTCACATGCTGATTGTAAACGGCCATACGTGTACTTCCATTTAGATTGCAAACAGCCATACGTTTACGAACATGCAGATTGTAAATGGCCATACGTTTACGAACATGCAGATTGTGAACGGCCACACGTTCATGAACATGCAGATTGTAAACGGCCATACGTGTACTCACATGCATATTGTAAACGGCTATACGTTTATTCAGATGGAGTAATTTAAAATAAGATGCTGGTCAGAAGTGCACATTTACAACCGCAAAACATAGTAAGTAAGACAAATGAGCTAATTCTGCTGATATATATTACGATGGTATGGTTTATCCTCACGCGGTGTGGATAAATATTCTAACAACAAATCATGACATTGTCAAGTCATTCTGCGTCACCACGCAGGTGTCACTCTACCAGTTGTTCGCACATAAGAGCAATGGATACAAAACAAACAAACAAACAAAACAGGAGTAGAATAACTATTGTTCATTGTTGAAATTTCTGCAAATATCTCAAGCTAAAATTT